TGCGCAGTCCGTTTTATTTCCCATCCGCGTTCTTTCTCTTTTTGCTTCTCTCGCTTTATCTCTCTCCTATCTATTCTCTCCCTCTTTCTCTCTCTCTCTCTCTCTCTCTCTTCTTTCTCTCTCTCTCTCTCTCTCTCTCTCTCGTTTTTCTGTTCGAGTATTAAAAATACTGCGCTTGTTTGCGGTCTCTTTGTGACGCATGCCGCCGCGGACGTCCGAGCTTGTTCAGCAAGACGCTCGTATACTCGCATATGTTTCTGTTTGCCCTATTCCCTACGGCCAGTTCTGAACTTCCCTCTCTCCCCAACCGTCATCGTTCTTTCAGGGTGAAGACAGTGCCGGCGTATTATGCCGAGATTTCTTTTTTCCAACCAGCGCGGAAGAGAGCGCGGATCTTGTTCTGGATGACAAATCCTAGACGCGCCGAGTGAATTAAAAGCGAAAGAGATCACAACGGACCAAATGGAAGATAGCGAATACAATACGCGCTAATGCATCAAAGTCTTCGGATAATGGAAGTTATTACTATCGTTAAAATGTTTTTTTTTTTTTTACACACGTGTAGAGCTGAGACGAAGAGATATTTTAGTATTCTATTAAAGAGACAAATGACGTTTCAAAATGAAAAAAGTCACCATATACTTCGTTTCTCTAAAGTTCTTCTTTTGAATCATATATCAAACTCAAAAAAGAAGGAAAAGTTTCCGAACAAACCGAAGATAAAAATTACTGCGAGAGAGAGAGAGAGAGAGAGGGAGAGAGAGAGAGGGAGAGGGAGAGACACAACTGCCCTAAATAATAGAACTGTAAACCCCGTACACAGCGGCGGTGATCAATATCCATTTGCACCAACAAACACAACAGTCTTGAAACGTAGAATCGCGTTCGATTATTTCCCGCGATGGGAACAAATCGTCGTTGGCGGCAAGCGAGATATATTACCCTCGCCGTCCCCGAGGCGTCGCGAATGCGTGCAATGAGAAAAAAGTACATCGGAACAGAAAACAAGCCGCGTGCGCGCGCACAGGAAGGAAAATCGCAATCTCGTCCCCCGTCTCGTTCCCCGGCGAAGAATGACTACCGTTTCGCGTGCCGCGGCAGAGAAGAAGAGAAAGAGAGGGTACAATGATATTAACTTGAGATGCATCTGCGCGCATTGTTATGATAATGTATTTAAATGTCAACCGCACGAACGACCGGCTGGCTGACTGGGTGAAATACGCGCGTGTTAAGCTAAATCGCGTATACGAGTGCACGCGACCGCTTCTGCGGCAGAGTATATGCATCGCTGTCGTCACTAGGCCGCTGGCGAGGTCGTCTACACGCCGCCTTCTCCGTTCGCAGTGTCGCCGTTCTACGGCGTGCGTCACTTCCGCGCTGCGCGAATGACGCGTGCGGGTCGCCGACCACGAGACTGGTTCCGTCGGTTTGGTTTATTAGGATTACGTCGGAAGAGTCGTCGGCGTTCCATTCGCGGGTGAACTCGCGGGGACAGCGCCGGCCGTGTCTACAGCCGCGAAATAAGCGAATGCGCTCGTCGTCGGTGGTTCAGTAACTGCGGCGCGCGATGAAGGATCGTAGATCTGCCGTGCTTATTTAAAGCACGTCGCGTGTAATGGCGGCAAAGTTACGACGGCCGTCGTGAACCGCGAGATAGCGAGATACACACGTTGTGTCGACTGCACGTGAAAATCGCCGAGTAATTCCTTATCGCGTTCATGACAAATAGTTACGAGAGAGATCCCGTGATGTATTAGAGAGGTTTGTACGTACAAAAAACGATACATCATAATCAGCTTTTAAAGGCCGGAAAGAATTGCAATAACAAACAATGTGACACCTGCGTATTTTCAATATTTGTTATTTCGGGTAAATAATAATTTTAATAATGAACATTTAAATATTTGTTTTCATATCTTGTTTGCTTCGCGTATATATTAATTAATTATATTTTATTGACTTTCTATATCATATACGTGTGTGTCTGAATAAATAAAAACAAGTTAGCTGTAATTAATGTGTTATTGCTGGGTTCTCGCTAATTAATAGAAGCTCGCGTTCGAGCATTTGTCATTCCCGTACAAACGTCGCGACGAAACGCAATCAGAACATTCGTCGCACGAACGTCGACGCCTTCGGGCGTGAAGAAAGAAACTTATTTTTCCAAAAAAGATTTAAAAAAAAAACGCCAAGTACACGCGTACACAAATACTGTGTCTCTTCTCTTTATTTTATTATTTTTTTTTTTATTTTAATCAAATTCAAAATCTAACCAAAAAATAGTACTGAAAACAGGGTTATCGTGCATTATTACAATTATAACGCGTATTTCTACAAAATAGCTTCTTACAAAATCTGTTCTGTAAAAAAATTGATATATAATAAAACAATAGCGCCAAATGAGAAATCATACACAAGTTACACAATAACAATAATGGTTAAGATGGACTTTGTTTTGCATATTAAATCGCAAACTTGTTGAATCTGCGCAAAAATGTTATTTAGAAACTTATGTGAAACTGTACTTTTATAGAATTAGCTTCTGAAATACTCAATGGCGTGAAATAAATCTTGCTTTGTCGAAAATTCATGTGCAAATGTTTTCAAAATAAAAAATATTTAACGCAAAANAACTTGGCGCGGCTGCACCTTAACTATAATGTATCAAAGTTAAAGTTTTTTATCTGTCTGTCGATCTGATTTAATAGCTACTCAGTAGCTATTGTTGTAAACGTAAACTTGTTTTTTCGAAACCATCAATTTTACAATACAAAAAGTATGTATTTCTTGGAGAATAAAATAACGTTTGTTTTTCTTGACAAAAAAATGTTTTGCGGTGATATTCAAATGTATCACACGTTATAGTTTAGTTATATTCAATTAAACGTTGTTTAAAATATTTGCGTCAGTTTGATATTCAGTAGTTTTTTTATTAAAGGTACGATTTTTTCTTTATAACGTTACTTTTATACTACAAAGTACTTATTTCTTTAAAAGGTTAATGAATTAACAATATTTTATTGACAAAACTCATTTAACGCTGATACACAAGAGTTTTGACATTTATTTGAATAAAAAATGTTAATAGTTCGCGCGTTTAGTGTGCGTATGTCGTTAGTTTTTGATGCAGCCGCGCCAAGTTTTTTTGCATTAAATATTTTTTCTTTTGAAAGCACTTGCATAAGACTTTTCGACTTATCACGCAAAACAAAAAAACATTGTTATAATAATATTATTATTTACATTGTTATAATAATAATGTTGCAACAATCGGAATCTGCGCAAAAATTTTTTGTGTAAACAGGATTTAGGCAAACAGGACCTGTGCAACCATCGATCTGCGCAAAAGAAATGGCTATCGAGATCCTCCCATCTATTCAAAGTAACGTAATCATATCCCCGCTTCTACTTGATACTGTTTATATAAAGTAATCCGGCAAGACGCAACGGGAGACGCAAATACATGTATACAAATGTGTTCACACGTAAACTTATTAAAATTCATAGCGCGAAATATTAAGGAAAAGTTAAAATAATAAAAACCTTATAATGCAACTAGTATTTTTAATAATTTGCTCATAGAACAGTAAAAAATATTACATAATATACATTTTTCTTTTAATAAATTATATTTTTTTTCTCATAGATTTATATATATAAGTATTGTGCGAGTTTTTTTAGCGTGTGATTTGTATATTCGTATATTTATGTATGCTATACACAAATATACGCATCAAGTGGCGTTTATATAATTATTACATTGTAATGAAAAGAAACGAGTTAAGTTTATGATCACCACAATATTACAAATTAAAATTCGAAAAGTGTATGTATTTTCGATTTTAATCATAATTTGCAGTTTTTGTTATCATAACTTAAAAAACTCATACTAAACTCACAATAAAGAAAAAAACTCATTTAAACAGAAAAAAATAAGTGGATACAAATATTTAGTAACTTCTTTTAACAAAACTCGTTTGCTTACATGCAGAAAAGACACATAAAAAAAAATTATTTCCTCATGTGTTTGTAATTAAAAACATACTGGGGTTTAGAACGGATTATATTTAGCATTTTACTGAGGAACTCACGACGATTTTCAACTTTTGTTTTAATGGCATCGAGAACACGTAGATCCTACAACAGATTACAAAATGTATTTAGTATAAAATACTATATACTTGTATATAATTTTGATTAAGACAACCTACACACTGTACTTCTAATAAAAATAATAAAAAACTACTAGTTTACATATATACAATAGGCTATATCTGAAAAGAAAAACAGAAAATGTAACGCGCACACTTCCAAAAAAATATTAAATATAATAATATTTTATATATAGTATCTCCAATTTTAATGTTTTAAATTAAAATAATACGCTATATAATTTATAAATACATTTACCATGTAATGTATATCCGACAATTTATTTAACAACACTTCGTTAGTAATCTGAAAAAATCATGTGCTATTGTCACTTAGTGTGATTTACTTATATTGTGTAACAACATTCACTTATTATATATTAGTTATTTGTTTTTTATATCACAAAAATTACGAATATAAAATCCATACCAGACACATTTTTACCCGTATAAATACATACGTATATATACATGTATATAATATAAAAAAATTTGGTTTTACATATTTATCTACAAGAAATAAGTAAGATCATACATCATACCATGAACAGGTCATCGTTGGAATATATGTTGTTAATAATATAATTTATTATTGCTAGTATGTTCACGTCTCTATCAAACCAAAATAACAGATGTATCATTAATATGTAAACTTACTAATACGTTATACAAAATAACGTGAGACAACAATGTTCCGAACCATAAAAAGTAATGTAAAAAAATATGCAATGTAGGGGTTATACACATTATGTAGGGGTAATATTCGTATGAAATTTACTGTATGAAACTTTGTATGAAAAATGTACTGTATAAAATTACTTCTACATGTACAACAATCTATTTACCTTCCTATTCCAAACTGTAGACCGAATTGTATACTAAATAGCCCTGAATAAGTTTTCGAATGCAAAGCAAACATATTGAAAAGTAAATTAACAGTAACACTTTTCTTTGCATGTACAATATTATCAGTATCACTGTTTTTGGCACGTAAACTACTTCCAGGTCTTGGTAACGAATTACGATCAAGAAAAGACAGGAAAGTGTACAAATACTCGTGATTTTTATAGCAAGGTAAAAATTCAAAGAAATCTTCTTCTTTTCCTTGTGTCTGGTATATGTTGAAAATTTTTTGCCACAAAGCAGATTTATCATAAGTGACAGTTTCTAACATTAATCCTTGGCAATATATCCATTTTTGCCAACTTGACAAAAATCTGCAAGTAAAAAACCATATTATTTCACTTAAACATATATAACACTATTTACAAACTAATTCATTAATGCTATTCCATAGATTTTTTTTAAGCGTAAAAGTGTATTAAGTCACATGTCAAAGATGCAGAACATATAAAATCAACAACAATATAAAATCAGTAGCAAGAAGACGTTTTTGTAACATATACACAGTTTGTCCGGAAAGTTCCCGGACTACGTGAATTAAAAATCGAAAATGAAAGATATGGTTTATTAAACAAGTTTACACTTCAA